GGAGAAAGCTAGTGTTGTTCCATCCATGTAGCCACTGCGCTAGTGAGACAGCCTTCACGGCGGCGCCGTATGCGAGGCATTCGCATCAGGACCTAACTGACTTTATGTGCTACCGTATGTCGGTTTAAGGAACCAAGAAAAACTAGCATTTCTACGAATTGCCACAACATGAGTATAACCAAGTGCTTATGCAGAGAGAAGGAGAAGATTCTTGAGGCTCTTCACAACCTAGGAGATTTTCCTTATTCAGCATGAATGAGTTTCATGGAAGTGTTCAATGAAAGGAAGCACAGTTTATTTCAGCCAGCCTACAATAATCTTCTGCTAATACCACCTGAGATATCCTCAATGGAATTTCTTTTACGGAACATCGAAGTCTATTCATTTGGTAAAAATAAATAGAAAAAAATACACTTGTGTTCTCACATCCTATGAGAATCTCTTGGGCACACATATGCAGAACGTTAGGAAGTCCGCACGTTGATCGTGTGAAAAGTGACAGTCAACCACTGCGCCCTCCCAACTGGTGCGCTCCTTACTCCAGAGCGGTAAAGCGAAGGGGAGGGGGGTGCACCAATAAGGCAGAGACTCTCTCGGCTTTTTCTACCGAAACTGGCACTGTGGAAGGACAGTAGATATATTAGTCTGGAGGATCCATAGTTCTGAGAAAACTGAGAGCGGGAGAATGTACAATCTTGTTCACTGGGAAGGTTGAGGCATAACAAGGGGCTGGCTTGCGCAATACCAGCCCGTTTTCCAACAATTGTTATCGCTGGTCCGAATTAACAATTGTTGGAGAACAAAAATTGTTGTGAAACGTAGTTGCAGCAAATGCTTCTCATGACACACCCAGCATCCGCAGCAGAAAAAAGATTGTACAATTAAGTGTTAGATGGAAAGCGACTGACCCCGCCTATTGCATTTCAGGAGAATGAGATCCGCAGATTCTCTGGGACTTGTTAGGACCTCTGGATTTTACTCTTCTTTGCTCGCTTTCGTTCTGTTTGCTATTTCCTATTGCATTTCAGGAGAATCGAGACCGCAGATTCTCGGCACTCTGTTGAACTCTTGATTTTACATTTTTCCTTGCTCGCTTTCGTCTGTTTCTATCTTCCTCATTGATTTCAGCGGAGAATGAGATCCGCAGCATTGCTTGGACTTGGTTGACTCTCTGGTATTATTTACATTTCCTGGTCACTTTCGATTTCGTTCTTTTTCTCTAGTTCTACTATTTAGCGAGGGGGCGGAGGGGAGGGGGGGGGGGGGGGGGGGCGGGCATTATGTGATTTTTGGGTATTTCCTGGAAAATAGAACTCAACGAAGAGTGAACAGCGGATAGTTTCAAGTACACTAAATACTCATCCATAACTTCCTCAGCATTCCAAAATTAGGAGGAATTGGCATTGTCCTGTGGAGGAAGATCACCCATATCGGAGATCGAACACCGGTATATAATGCTAATGCCAAGCTGTACGAAGCGCTACTTCAAAGGGCAAAGCCGGCGATCAGATATTGAGAGTGGTGCTGAATAGCAATCCAAGAATCCAACAAACCTAATTGAGTGCAGAGAGAGTGATTGATAGTATCACGGGCGAGAGCTGTTGTGGTGCAGGTGTGGTTGCCCAATTTGACACAGCTGTTTCTTAGTATATCAATAATGTTTTTGCGGATGTTCTTTTAGCAAGGTTGGCTTCTATCATTAGCCAGCATAACAGAAATTGGTGGCGGGTCAATGAAAACGGTGTCGCGCAAATTGAGATGAAAATGCTCTCCGCCTACACTCTCTCACCAGCTCGCGCCTCAAAAAAATGGTTGCCAAATCGCTGTCTGGCCTGCCTCTGCGGGCTCTACCTGCTCACAAGGGAGAGGAAGATGTCAGCTGATCGCGGGCAGTGCCTTTAAAAACTTCTACCCCATCTATGGCTGGCTATTGGACGTACAGTCACTGTCCCTGCAAACAAGAGGGCGTGAGGAGGGGAGGGGTGGATCGGAGAGTGACCAGGCTTATCACCAACTGTTGCAGGCTCAGAATGGCACCATGGGTGAAATAAAAGCCCCTGGCTGCGCTTCAATCTACACCCGTTACACGCCATTTCGTTTGCAGCGATATGACAAAATTTTACTCTCTATACTTTGCGGGTATCAAAAATAATCATATTAGCGACTGGCACGCAGCTATTGCCCAGCTGTCACAATTCCACGAGCGCTCAGTCGTGGCAACCCAAAAGGGCTGCCACCGGCGTGAATGTGTTGAGGGATAAACTGTAACTCGTCCAAAACATTTGTTAAACCACTGTTCAGAAAACTGGTTTAAAAAGCTTTTTATTCGCACCCAAAATAACAAACTAAGCAATAAGCACACGAATCGCAAATATTACACGCTTGCATCTGTTGTGGCGGCGAAATGTGGTCCAATTTGATCCAACGAGACATCTGAAACAAAACAATTACCTTTTGAATGGATGAAGTGAAATCATTCGAAAATCAAGAAAGAAAAGTAGGAATTTTTGTAGAATGAACGACACACTAACCCGTCGCCTCTGCAAACACCTCAGGAGAGCCCAGCGTTGCAATCTCTTCGTCGAATTTCTTCACAAACGCAGAAGTCTTTCGTAAGGTTTCCAGGATGTGGCTTTGTAGCCATTCCAAGCGGTCTTCGGAGTCAATCTATAGTGGAAATTTTGCTAATAATGGTGTTCCACAAGAAAAACAAGTACAGCTGTCAGTTTCAGACAGCTTTTGTAGTTCAGCACCCATGCTTCCGCATACGCTTTAACACGTTCCGGACCGCGTGACACACATGATGTGTCATACTTTTTTCTCTCTGCGCCGTTTCATACGGTCCATTTGGCATCTTATTCATGCTCCGAAGTTATCAGAACACGTTTTCAGGCACAGAATACACATATTTCGAGAAATAGTATGAAATGTGCTGATGTAAGTTAAAAAATAACGAAATTATGCGGACAGTCCTCGAAGCAACGGCACGGTCCGGAAATGTAGATGTGAAATAAGTATCGATTTCTCGCGCTCATAATCAGTAACTACTGGTGGCAGAACTGACAATTCCTTTCGTAGGCAACCGTAGAAAACTCTCAAATGAGATCCATACTGGCTCCAAGAGTTTTATGAGCATAAGGTGAAGAATCAATGAGTGTAGAAATGGGAAACGGCGTTGGTGTGTGGGGAGAAGGTACACAAAAGACGGAGACCCCTTCGGTATAAAGTGATGGTAAAACGAAATAAAGGCGAGGATTGATTAGGGAGACGGAGGCTGCTTATGACAGAGCCTTGGCGTTCTTATAAGCACTTTCAGGTCACGATAAGTCACTTTCGAGATCTCTTACGGACCACGCCACTGTAAAAGAAGAGGCTTCTGTATGCCGACTAAATCACAAACGATTTTCCTTTAACTAACAAGAACTACAAAAGACGCCGGCCTTAATCAAAGTCAATCCTTACCATTTTCAACTGCCAATAAGCTTTGGAAAACTGCGCACTATAAAAGCACTAAAGCAGGGGAGTCCCACCATAACTTCCATGGAACTTGAATGGAGACCTGGGTAGATCGATAGAGTCTATAAGGTTATTTACAAATATAGATAGCAAAACTGCAACCTGCATTTCACAAGCAACTTATGAGCAGGTAAAGTTTGTAATGGTGCGAGTACGGGTGGTTGGTCGGGCTGCTGAAGCACCACGAGGAAATCCCCATATGTCTGAAATCGGTGGTTGCGGGTTCCGTGGTAAGTTAGACAACTGAACCGACGTATGCGATTCCTCGCTTATGCTTCACAGCTCACCACCAAGCCTCCACCCTACTGCACCATTACAAACTTTACCTGCTCATAAGTTGCTTGTGAAATGCAGGTTGCAGTTTTGCTATCTATATTTGTAAACAACTCTTATCGACAACCAGGTCTCCATGGTTCTGCCAGGTCTCCAAAGTTCCGATGGTAAGGCCTGGCGGGACTTCCCCGGCTAGTGAATAAGGTTGATCTATACGAGTGAAAGCAGCTCACCCCGGTATCACGTCGCGGAAATAATCGATCGACCGAACGGCCCAAGTCAGCAGACACGGACTCGAAGCGCATCCAGCGTATTCGCATGGCCTTCAGTTGTGTAGTCAGCAAGAGCAGCACGTAATACCTGCAACAAACCATAACTGAGGAAGGGCGTCAGAGGACAATGCACCAGTACCTTCGGTTCACCGTGGCGGCCGAACTTCACCGTGAATCTACATCAACGGGTGATCATAGGGCTTTCTTAATACGACTGAAACAACTACTTCCACAGTCAGCTTCGTGCTCAAGCCAACTTTGCAGGTGAGCTCTGTGTCATTAGAATATCGCAAATCCACTCTCGAGTGTCCGAGCAATTTACGAGTGCGTGAAACTCGTACGAGGGGTGGGAGGGAAAGAGCCCAAGACAGTGTTAGCAGAACTGGGTAAATACTGTGCATTCGACTCTCGACCACCGCCTTGAGAGGCTTCCGAGAACGATTCTTAATGGAAAAATTTGAAACATTTCCTATACCAACGAATGTTTTCCTCACTACTATGAAATATGAGAAAAATCACCTGAAGTACACGAATTTATCGATCAGTTCACAGATATCGACAAATACAATCGCACGACAGAGCGGGGGTACAGGGGCGGCCACTTCGAGATCAGCTTGGTACCTTAAATTTCGGAACTATTATAAAACATCACTGCATCATGGTTGGACATTCCTAGTCACCTGTTCACAGCAAGAGCCCAATCAGCTTCACTCGCAGTTCCAGTTGCTATCGGGGTTAGTGCATTGCACTTGGCACCAGCATTATGCAGAGAAGCCTGAAAAGAACTCAATTAAGTTAGATTGGATAGGCAAATTAAAGAAATGAGAAACTGCACGGAATAAAAGTTGCGATCAATAAGCGATGAGAGCCGATGACTGAGATTCACCCACTTACCTTAGACCATTCATCAACATTTCGTCCTCCTCCACTTCTACGAATAGCATTCTGATGACAATCAATATGCACCATCACCATTTGACTGACGGTAGCCAGCTGAGGCACTCGAGCATCATTGGTCATAGGAGAAGCGAACGCGTAGCTATTAAATACTAGTTAAGAAATACTTCTTTCGGAAAAAAACAACTATGAAATCAGATATTTCTATTAAAGGCAGTTGGCACGATAAATCCATAAAGACGAGTAGGATAAGCTTGGCAAGACGGAATTGACGGAATTCCGCGCCCCTGAGCAGGCGCTGCGTAGCGCCTTTCCCAAGGAACCCCTTATAAGGGCCCTATCAAGCTACAACATACCGACCCGAACGCCCACCACGCCCGCCCGCCCACAAATGGACGACCGTTCCTGACGCTCGTATTGATTCATTTGCTAAGCAAATTATGAAGCGAAGGGATTGGTATGAAGCGGCTGCTGCATGGATATATGAGTACACATATGCAGCCGTATCTTCGGTAGCGGTTATTGGCAAGATGCCTACGGGAAACTCGTCCGAAATCGATTTTCAAGTCACTGAGAACGGAGGCTTTTTCTTCGCAGGATTTTGACCGTTTCACTCCGTTCTTTCGCCATTTTCCCCACTATATAGCGCCCTGCTAGCATTTTACCAACTGCCTTTAATGTTGATTACGACTTGTGGCTAATATGCTTAACAGATAAACTAAGCATAGTCCTTGTTTAGCTGCTTCGAATCGGGCTTCTGTAGCTTTCACAGCTAGCTAGAGCCGGACTTGTAAAACAAAAGAATGGTGTGGATAGGGTAAGGTAGAAAAGTGTGAAAAAAAACTCACGCGGCTGCCACCCGTGTTCCTTGGAACAACGGCTCCCGACAGATGCAGCACGAAGCAAGTGGATCTGTGACTCCTTCAAGGGCTGGTTCGTTCGCTATACGTCTGTGGGCCACCTATAAAAATTACAAAAAAAGTAATCCTGTCTTACGAGTTCTCTCGGAAGGATGGGTGAAGATACTGGATAGTAACGTTCAAGCTTTTGGCCACTCCTCGCGTTTTAAGTTGACTGTTATGCTGTTTCGTGTTCATATGCAGTTTCCGATGCACTTTAGTAACTACTGTTGTCTAGTCCTGACAGTAGTGCTTTCCTTTAGGCCGCGTATATGAGAGAGCGCGGCGGGCGTAGATCAATTTTGGCGTTGCAGCCGGCTTTTGATGGAATAGCTGTTTGTATTGGCGGTTGTATTATTAGGTTGTCCGGAAAGTTCTTAGCGTTTTGGGTGTTTAACTTTAAACGATCATAACTTTCTTAACACTCATCGGATTTAATCCAAATAAGCACCATTCGAATCAGCACACTTTTGCCAATGTGGCAGCAGTCGAGAAATCCCATCAAAGAAAAAAACTGGGTGGTCGAGAATCCACGAAATCTGCGAAGGTCTTTTTTGCCTGGTCCTGTTTGATGAAGTATTTCTCAGCAGGAAAGTTCTGAAAATGTCTGAAAAGGTGACAGTCGGTTGGTGAAAGGTCTAGAGAATATGGTGGGTGAGGTAGAACTTCAACTCCCAATTCGTTCAATTTATGGATAGTGATTTGTGAAACGTGTGGGCGGGGCGTGACAGTCTTGTCATGCAAAAGAATCGGACCCTTTCTTTTGATAAGTGTTGGCTGCAGCTGACAATATTTTCGGTACATTTGGTCGGTTTGTTCACAGTAGGGTTCTGCTGTGATGGTTTGGCCTGGTGATGAAAAGTTATAGTGGATTACAACAGCCGATGACCACCAAACCTGACCAGAATTTTTTTTTCGCGAGGGTTCGGCTTTGAAAATTACCTCGGTGGTTCCTCCAAATCCAACCACTGTCCGGAACGTCTCCTGTTATCATACATGATCCATTTTTCATCACAGGTGACAAATCCGTTCAAAAACGGGTCAATTCTTTTGCGCAAAAGCAGTGAAGAAGGAACCTCGAGACGTGCCGATTCCTGCCGGTCACTCCGATTGTGGGGCACCCAATTGTCGAGTTTTTTCACCTTCCCAATGCGTTCCAGACCATCTGCAACAGTGGATTTGCCAAGGCCTAGCTCTTCTGCTATCTCTCGAACTGTTTGGGATGGGTCAACCTTCAAAATCCCCCTAAAATCCTCGTCAGATATTGCTTTAGGTCGACCGCTATGAGGTTCATCTTCAAGGCTGAAATCTCCAGAACGAAATTTGTTGAGCCATTGCCGCACAGTGCTTTCTCTAGCACTATTGGGCCCCCACACCTGGTTAATTTGTTGAGCTGTTTCGATTGCGGATTGCCCCAATTTATAGTCGAAGAAAAAAATCGTCCGAAGTGCTCTTTTCACATGCTTGAAAAAATCTTGAAAAAAGGGTTTATCAAGCAATGGTGAAACGGCAATTATACCATCAGATAGCGCAAGAAATTCTCTACAGGATGTGCTACTGAGAAGCAAGGCAGAATGAGTTTTTAATCAGCAGTGAATGTACAAAGATTAGGTGCACAAAACGCTAAGAACTTTCCGGACAACCTAATAGTTTTCGTCCAGCACAAGACAGGATTGTCTCTAATGAAAACATCCCATAAAAAACGCATGCTACGCCACGTTGGCCCTCTCCATCCTTGGATGAGGAGGCGACAGACACCATAGAAGAATCGCCATCACGCAAAAATTTTCGCTTTTTTTTCTCCTGCTGAACTATCTTCTTGCGAAATATCATACCTCTCTCTACAATTGTTCAATCATTTCTATCCTACTTGTCTTTTGATAATCATTAAAACAGTGGATGCGGCCTCTAGTTAACATGGCTCACCGCGGGTATAGTTAACATGGCCTCACCGGGGTTACGTTGCTCATCACTCCCAGTTTGCCACCACTGCACGCGACAAGTTGCAAAGTTGGACGCTCGACCATCGATAAGCATGTCCCGAAATTTTTGGATATTTTGACCATTTCGCCCACACTTCATTTCCCCGCATTTCACCTGCCTCTGTGTCGCTCAGTTCTTTTCTACATTATCCCTATTTTCTTCAGCATATTTCCCTTTCCTTAAACTTAGCACAGATCTAAGAGTGCTGCAGGAAATGGAGGGATAGAAACTACAAAAGGGCTTTCGTGGAGAAATACTATTGGATGGAACAACCCGAAATAGTTAACATACCTTCACTTCACCCGATTTTCCCATCTGCATTCCCATCTCACGTAACTGCTTATTACGCATGGCCATTGCCATTTGCCGTTTTTTCTGCCGGGTTTCTTGACGTACATTCTCGATTTGAGCCGCTACCTGCAACGCAAGTCAAAAATTGAAACGGGAAGAGAATTTTACGCAACCAAAAATCAAAGATTCAAGTTGAAGTAGAGCTTGAAGACAAGCTTTCCAAGATAGCTAGAAGACACGAGTGAAACACTACCTCAGTATTCTCTTTGAGTGCTTCAACAACATTCTCAGCCATGGTGCCTATGGAGTTGTCGGAAGCCACCTGAAACCGTGGATTTAGTAACCTGATCAGCGCTTCGAAAACGTGATACAGCAGTTAAACGGTGGAGTATGTGCAACGTTTTCTCGGCCAGAGCTCGTTGACTTGCTTCATGTGATCTCGCCATTCCATGCATGAACGACAGCATCTTAAAGCATTTCAATTGACGGTCTCACAAAGAACGTCCAGAAAAAGCTCGCATAATTGTGCAATGTTATCCGTTTTGGTCAAACCAACCAATTTCAAGGACGGCCGGAGGAGGAACGCTTTCCACTCTTGAGATTCAGTAGCCGAATAGAGTGGCGGATGATTTGACACAAGATGTGAGCATGCCTTGAATGGATTTAACGCTTGATAGCTGACAAAATGCTGCGGAAAACGGATATGTTTAGGTTAACAAACTTTAGACAGAACACCGCTATCCAAAATCAGCTGTTTCAGCTTTGCGGCTTCGGCACTGTTGAGAATTCCCGCAGTCACTTCACACAGTCTACCAACAGCTACCACACGCTCACTTCGAAGTGAGACATCACTGAAAAATGTCATTTTTGTTCGTGACGGGTAGAAAATGCAAGACGAGGAGACTGATCTGAGTTGATGCCTCTCCTCATTTATTTGTGATGGAGGAACAGGGACACTACTTCGACTGTCTGGATACTAAACGAAACTCCATGGCTGGGATTTCGACCCCTGACCTCTTGAACGAGAATCAACTGCTTGGAGCGAAATCGCTTGGTGCGTGTGCTATCGACGTCGGAGCTAAAACTGGCCTGTGACCCTGCGCCGGCGAAACGTTCGCCAGAGCGTATTCTTTCAAGCGAATGCAATATTAGGCCCAAAAGGACGGAAATTTTCACCAGCAGTACCGCTTGGGGAAAACTTTCATCGAAATATGACCTGCATTTCGAAGGGTGGGACGGCAAAGGGTAAGCAGTGCCAGCAAAGCTACCCCTTTAGTTTTTTTTTCACAAACAGCCGTTTTCGCGAAGTTTGCGACGATTCTAAAAGCGCAAGAGCGACGAGTCATAAGACAAAGAGCGAAAAGCTGGGATCGAAGCTGGACCTCAGCCTGGTTTCTCCTTTCGAGAACCTCGCCGTTCACGACAACCCCCCCCCCAAACTAAGGTACTCAACACGCTCGATGTGACTCTAACAACCTATATAGGGTAGCTGATGCCTTCCGACCGTCATTTAATGTGCATCTTCCAGTCAGCCTACTTTGAGCAATTGACCTCAGCAGCATTTGTCTAAACTGTAATGAACCAAACAAGACCGAAGTTCATCTGAAGTCAAACTCACTTTGTCTCGTCAATTTCTTTCCACTGGCACGTTTTGATGTACATGGCAATGAGAGCTTTCTCAGCTTCCTCGTTACCCACAACGAGGTTACCGATGACTCGTGAAACTTGAGCACAGAACTTGTTCACGCTTTCGGAACCTGCAATATGTAACAGTAAAACGTGGGAAGCTCAAAAGCGGGTCATGCGGCCAAAAGAAGTGACCACTCCCACGAATATTCGTTTTCACGCCCAACTGGTTCACGTAGAAAACTGGTTCACGACAGCGTTTTCACGCTTCCACCCTATCTACAGCGTATGCCATAGCAGTACTGATAGCGGTGCTACACACACAAAAGATGGACCCTCACTTCAAAAGTACGCATTTTGTCCGACCCAGCCTAAATGAGAGAGTAGCTGTGTAGGCGGGCCGATGAAAAAAGAAAATCTTCTACCTTCCATCTGCGCAATCATGAAAGGATAAAGTCTTCGCCGTTGATTAAATTTTTTTTGAGATGCGGCACGCATCCTACTTTCATTTAAAATCGTGGTTTATTGAATGGGATAAGGTCCCTAGAATGACACACCGGGACCGGCCGATAGAAGGGAGGGGGATTTCTGGCTGGATCCTTGGACTGTGTGCGTAGTGAAGCTACTTGCACTACACCACCTCCGCCCTAAGGACAATCATAAGTATAGAAAATCTCACCGGAATCAGGACGTGCCATTACAAACGACAAAAGCCATTCAGCGTCTTCCTTGGAAATACCGGTCAAGATCTAAATAGAAATTGTTATTTATATAGCAGACTAAAAAAATAGAAGAAAACCTGACCGGATGCACAGCTGGATCATTCACTATGGCAGAAATCATTTGAAGATATTCAAGACCTATTTGGAGAACGCCTTCATCCGTAGAGCGAAGGGACACGCACGAGTGTAGCACCTGAAAATGTTGTTTTACTCCTACTGTGCCAATCTTAGTCATTTCATGCGTTAGAGGGGCCACTGGTGCTCACAAGGACCCAACAATCGCCGACACTCTTTGCGAGGAGACGGTCAAGACAATCGCCATTTGCCGCTCCGTCGCGCGCGGTAATAGACGCGGCATTTTCTTATTTTGTTTTAGCGTTCCGATTAGAGCACCGGTTTCATGTAGATTACGATAACGTAAATGCACACAGTACATTGTCCTATCGCCATCCACGACCTATCAGCATCCCCATTTGCGGGCTCGACGTCACACGACACGCCCATCAGCGCGGCGAATTACGACTTTCTTGCCACATACCCCTTTTTACGCATGACAGAGGCCTAAGACCTTTTTTAGAGAACAGCATATACCTTCATGAAGGCATTGATAGCACCCGACGATACTAGGTCCACTCGTCCTTGTTCTGTTTTCACACAACGTTCGAAGAGTTTTCGTAGTTGACCAAGGAGGAACCTAAATTAGAGAAAAATTTAATAAGGCATTATGAAAAACAGCAGATAGCACAACAATCTCCCTAGAAAGAGAATAATATTGAGGCAGTTCTCTATCAGCACAGTAAACAGAATATGTAAAATCGAAGTAGCGTTACAGCCAATGTTAACGACAAAGAAATCAAAATGAACGCGGCTAGTAAATTCACCCCTGTTAGGGAAATTATTCAACATTTTCTAAAGTCCTACCTGCCAGCACTTCCGGTATCAGCCAAGCCAATCAACCGTAGCGCCCGCGTTAAGCCACCACACTGTGACAAAGCACCAGTTAGTGACGATAGTGTCTCGTCCTCTTCTGCCTCGCCTGAAAAACACGAATTTTGAAATGTTGCCCAGTGGAAGAAGAGTTCTCTCCACTGATCAGTGATGGTCCGTCCTATAATGAAAAGGAAGCCAATCATTGGAAGAGCAACTTTTTTTGAGGAAAAGAAATAACTAGAAACGAAAACGTTACTATGGAAGAATTCCTTTACCTCCGTCAGCTTCACCAAGTGTGGACACAAACGTCTCTACTGCATCTCCAAGCAAACCACGCATTCTATAAACGATCACCATCGGTTGTCCGGGATTCGCTTTCTTCCATAACTTGTCATAGACGGCTCGTACTGGCAGAGACAACGAAATGATCTGATTGTTCACCAGAAGCTGAAAGTGCGAACGCGATATATCTAACAGCCAGCTCATTAATATTATTTGACCTTTGATTCAATGATGAACTGAGTTGCAGTTTTGAAAAAGCGTTTTTTATACTGCGTCAATCAGAAGCGCTCAGCATAAAATCGTATAAAAAAGCAAATGACAGGTTATGAGACTCCACAGTGTTTAGATAACCCGGTTAGCTCCTAAAAAAGTTGAAGTGCTCAGCGCTCACCTCCATTCCATTGTCATCTTCCATAAGAGCGATCATCTCAGTATCACGGCAGATCTTATTCTTTATGTCTCGCATAAGCGGGCCGAGACCGACATCCGTAGACTGAAATCGTGACAATACGGCAATTCAGAATTCATTTCTATGTATGGAGAGTAAGAAGCATGTTCGCAAGGCCTGGGAGGGTGAGTTATAATGAGAAGAGAGGGTTCAGTGTTGTTAGCTGCGTACTCTGTGGCGTTTCAGAGAGGCTGGGTTAGACGCAGCGCCAGCCTGTTCTCCACACTTGTGGAAGCCGGCAAGCAATCACAATTGGTGGCGAGTAGGCTGGCGCCGGGCTAAACTGCTCCTCTGAAACGCTCCAGCCCCAACAAGGCTGTATATCTTCTTAGGACTTGCAGCACGGATTCCCGGCGTTAGTGCTAGTTCTCAGAGTTTGGATGTGAAAACACCGTGAATTATACCGCAATTGCATGCAAAATAACGTGCATTCACTGATTTTAAAGATGCGATAGTGCGCTATAGAAGACCACAGCTCGTCAGCTATGAATGGTCCATACGCATCACATCTTCGAAGCTTTGAATTATTTCAAAAGTGGGAAGTTCCAGAGACCCTGTGTTATGTATAAAACCTCAAGGCGTAAGAAAATTGACGATTTGCGTGGGCTCAGAACGAAACCGAAAACGAACCTTGTATGGATTGCCGGTCATCCTTCCCTGGAGGAAAGTCTTCCTGTGCAGGATCTTTCTCAATTTGTATATGAAAATCTTCCTCTTCCTTTTGTTCTGGGTTGAGAACATCCAAAATGACTGACACAATATGTGCCTGCAAAGGGATCCAGATTAATTTATGTATAAAAGGCCACATTTTGACACCACTGCAAAAATTTGTCCATATCCTTTTGAGGCACACCTATATAGGTCAGGAGACATCGTCACCGCGTATGGCAGTGCGATGGCTCCTCTAAATCACGTGCGGCTTATACAGTCGCGGTGAGGATCAGCCGAACGAGGCGATATCCACGGCGCTCTCTGAGCTACGAAAGGCACACAAGCAAGTGGGTGGGATAAGGTGTGAAAGCGGTCTTGGGGACAGAAATTATTTATTATCTACAAGGTTAGTTAAGGGACATAAATTAACTATTACTCCTAATCGATCAGTACCGGTCGGTTGCCAAATCCCTGCAAAGGAGCCTCTACCAAGTCTTTTTTGAAAAGTAGTG